CTGTTAAGAATTCCAGTGGTTGTCAACTGGATTCCCATTTTTCCTCAATTATAGGATTTCTGTAAATCCTCAAAAGGTAATAAATTTGTTTGCCCTTTGGTTCTGGAGTTGAACCATAGCTAAAATCTGGGGCCTATTTGAAAATTTACAACCTGTCTTTCTGTTGCTTACCTTTAGAAATACTTGCACTTCATCCATCCCCTACTGACCATGTACAAATGATGCAAAAATGCTGAAAATTGTTTATTGCAGGTATTTCTTACCATCCTCCTTTTTTGTTGTTGTTCACCATTGCTGGCTCACTGTTAATATGGAAGACTGCTGTTTCTGCACAGGCCAGAAGGTCTTTCTGTCCAGAATAAGTCTCAGTTATAGCTTAGTATAGATTGGTCTTCACAAAATATTTTAAACACAGAAGTAACTTGAATAAAAAAAATGTTTAATCAAGGAATCAATTGGGTATTTGACTTATTTCAAAATATTGTTCCTATTTTTCTCCGTGATTTAATGAAGCAAGGAATGGCATAATCTTTTGCATTATCCAAACCCATAGACAAAGTTAACTGACAGCAGAGGAGGATTTAACACCATCAAGAAAAATATCCCAGGAAAATGCTTTTCGCTAATATCAAACTGTAGCTGAGGCTTACATTTCAAACGTTGTATTCTGTGCACTTTGAAGAGAAAATTGTGGCAGTTTGTATATTTAGTTATTGATAGATTATAATACTAATGAATTGTGAATCTTACCTAGTTCCAAAAAAACCCCCCTCTGGTTTGATTGATAGATTTGGCTTGTCCATGTTCTCTACTTAAGAGATTTAAACATGTAGCACTTTTTTTCACTAGTGGATGAATTTTTTTTTTTGTAAATGAGCTTCATGTGTAAGTGCAATCTGAAGCTTAAGGTGCATTGTATAATATGTAATATAATTATGGATGTATTCAATATAAACACACATTTTTAAGTAAAACATGCTATTATAATAAGGTATGCTAAATTAACCTCTAAAGATGCTCAATATTTCATGCGTGTTTTGAAAAAACCCGCATTTTAATCACATGCCAAAGTGACAGACTACAGAAGCCATTAAAATCTGTCATTTTCTTTTACAGAATTTGCCGTTATTTTCAGCAGAATTAGAAGTACAGTGTGTCATTTTAATTCCTTTTTTCCTGAAAATTAAAATTACAGTTCTTGATCTTTTTTGGCTAAGGAAATAATTTGCAAAATAACTTGGTGAATTAGAGAAATTTAATTTTAGGAGAAAATCCAGCCAGTTTTACTTCTTTTAAGTGATTACTACTTTATCTTAATGGGTTCGTGTGTTTATCAGGGAGCATGCACTTAATAATCACTGCTTGCAGAGTGGGAATCTTCCACTCTGGAAATGCCTTCAGGAATTACTGCAATTTCCTTACTTCCTACTGATACCATGCTAGGTTTTTTTTCCAAGTTGATTTTTTTTCATCACTTCTAAAGAACACAAAGCTTTAAAGTCTCTGTGTCACCTTTCAATCTGAGAATATTATCCCAACATTTATAATTGATAAATGTCATTTTTGTGGGTTAAATGTCGCAAAAGGTCCTGTCCTCTTTTTTTTTTGCTTGCTAAAATGATTGACTGAATATTATTTTTCTTTGAAGTTCAGTTATTTATGAAAAACGTGTGAGACTCAGTTGCATTGAAATTTCTAGGCAGGAACTTGGAATTCCCTTAGTGTTTTCAATCTCAGGCAATCAGTGACAATCAACACATTAATGGAATATAAAAGCACAGAACTTGTACTCAGTATTTATAGTTTAATTACATTTTAAGCGACTCTTGGCTTTTTAGTAGTCAGTCTTTTTAGTTCATTAGAAGTGTCACCAAATCCTACAGATATGTGTTCCGCTCATACTCATCTTAGTGAATGTTAAATTAGATGCAGAGTGTAGAGTGGTGTTTTTAAAACTTATTAACGAGTCATTAATTTCTCTCCTTTTGAATGGACAAGGAATGAAAATAGCAAATCATCTTGATTGGGTATACAGTAGACTCAATACTATAATACTTTTAATATTAGATCTTAGAATGGTGATCTTGACCTTTTCAAAACATGTATTAATGCACCCTTAAATTTTGTATAGAAAAGACCCCCTGAAAGTTCTCTAGAGAAATCTATACAATTACTTCATCTTCACTGTGCTTAATTCTTTCATCCTGGGTACATAAAATGTTCTGTAAAATACCAGGTCTTAAGATTTCCCTTTTTAAAAATCCTACTCCTTAGTAAGACATACTGTCCAAGCTGGGAGAAGGCCATGTAATAAACACAATGTTCCATTGAAGAACAATTTATTTCTCATAAGTTACCTGCTATGAAGTACAAATATTTAAGTTTTTTTTAATTGGTGAGTGCTGTAGCACACCTGTATTGTGTTTTCAGGTAAAAGCAGATAGATTGTTTTACAATTGGTTGTAACTAATAAAGTACCAAATCAGGGTTGAGTTTTGACTGGTTTTGCCAGCTGTGTTGGAAGAGGAGAGAGCTCTTCCATGCATGTAGGTCTACCTGCACAGTGTTACTTGTACTTTCTGAATGGCCACTCCCTTGTGCTGGTACAGTCTGGAGCCTCAGCCCCGTTCCAAGGGTTTGGTCCTGTTTATTGCCAGGCAGACACAGCCCTAAGGGGCTTTTCCTAGCAAAGTAGGAGCTGAGCTATGTGAAATATTTATGTGTGCTCAGTGCTTCCACAAAGCAGAATTCCCTAGGCTATTTCAAAGTCACACATATTTATATGTATATTTTTATCTCACTATTATAAAGTGATCAAACAGTTTGGTGTCTTTGCCACTGTCTTTCTGGACCCTCATTTGGGTGTTCATGCTTCACTGTTATTACACATCCTCTCCCTAGTCTGACATATTTTCCTTGGTTATTCACCAAGAAATAATTGCACATCTTCCACCATTCTCAACTTCATCAGCATATTTAAACTCATCTAACCATTTTGTTTATCAGTTGTAGCAGCTAAGGCTATTTGGACTGTTGGTTTAGCAAAATCTTTTCAGCAGAAGTGTTTATTAATATACGCACATTATGTGAGTATGTTCCCATCAGTGCTTTGGTAGGAACTACAACAGATTCTGCACAAACAAAAGTTCTTCTCTGCTCAAAGGTCACTTCACAGTTCTGTTTCCTTTACTGTTTCTGATCTGGTGGAATGGATGTGAAAGTCATTTCTAGGACATCTGTTGCAGTGGTTATGATTTTAGTGTATGCCTGAATGTTCTGAAAATGTCTGTCCTGATGTTTTTGGTCTTCTTTATGAGTTTAACAGTATGCTGTGTTTATTGTCTCCTAGTGTAATATCTAGGATTCAACATATATCCAGGTTATTAAATTCATGTCTAAAAGGTCATTTGAACTTCCCAAAGGAAAAGTATAAAAAAATAAATTAATGCATTTCAGTGTCTTCTAGGTACAGAATTATAAGAACACTTAAGAAGGATTGTTGATGGTGCTAACTAAAAAACAATCATAAATATGTTGCATCCTCCATATATCTTTGGAAAGGGAGCATTAGCATTGGTGAAGTGAAAAGTTCCACTAGAAATTTAGTGAGATTTTGGCAGCTGTTTGCCTGGAATCAAGATCAGTTAAACACTTTCTTGTAGCTTTTACAAATGCTTAGATACTATGAGGAATGTGTGTATATATCATATTTTGACTATGGTCTTATCAGAGTTCTCAGTGTGGTTACCTGGCATCTGGGTCAATGAGCTCTTTATGTTCTAGATTTCTCCGTCCCTTAGTGTCCTGGGAAAAGGACAGTGTTAAATCTGGCAAAGGCTTGTAACCAGGTGATCCCTCATGGCCCTTCCAACCAAACCACTCTATGCTTCTATGACAGAGGGCTCTCATAAACAGCACAGCTAATGAGGTCTGGGCCCTTATTACTGGACTCTGTGACAGATCATAAAAATGCTCTTACGCTCTGAGCTCTCAGGCTGTCCCTTATTTCATCCACCATTATGACCAAAAGTAGTTTACTATCTCTGTCGGGGTCTCTAGCTTGTCAGACTGACCCCGAGAAGAGTTTGGAAGTCCCTTTTCCCAGCCGGCACTTGAAGAAAGAGTCAGGGCTCTTCATTTCTCGGTCTCAAGGTTGTTTATTGTATCTTATCTATAAAAGTTTTCTCCTGTCCTGCTGAGGTCCCCTGTCACGGGGGACCCCAGCAGGACAGGAGAAAGAATTTTATTTTATGTCTTTATACTAAAAACTACGTGTACAATGTTTACAATTACTTTCCAATACCTATCACCTATGTTAGACAGTGAGCTTCTTCTCTAAACCAATCTAAAAGTGCCAGCATCACAGCAGAAGATGGAGGCCAAGAAGAAGAAGAAGGAGAAAGGCTGGACATGTCCAGATCCCTTCATCTTGCCCCCTGGACCTCCATTCTAAAAACCCCAAAATCTGCTTTTTCACCTTGTGATAAATTCACTATCATTCTACTTAATTTGTCATGGCTTGCAGATCTTCATCTAAGGTTGGTAACTTGCTCCATGGGTTATAATCAAAACCACAGTCATTTTGGGCTCTGTGCCAGGGTCTCTGAGACCTCTGGCAGGGGTTTGGCTGCTCAGGACAGCCAGAGGGATATCCTGGGTCCTGGCATATCCCCAGCCTTCTGTTCAACTGCTCGCTGCTCTGTGGCCCTACACAGACTGGCCATTGCTTGCCACTTGACTGTCAGGCATGCAGAATCTGGCCCCTCAGCTGGACACCTGTACAGATAGTTTTGAGAGGTACATATATGTCCCCTTCACATGTGTTATATAGGGTTGACCTTAATAACTGAAGTTTGTATCAGTTTTCACTGTAGCAGCCAACTGGCCTTGTGTTTCAGATGTTATCCAATAAAAATAAGCCAGGGAAAATGTTTCAATTTTAACTTTAGGGGAGTTTAGTTTTGGAATCGTTTTCAGTTGTCTTTGTCAACCAGTTGTTGGTTTGTTGGTTTTTTTTCAGAAAAGCAGGCTAATAGCTAAGGGGGCATTTGCCAGTGTAAGACTGTAAAGGTCCAGGAGGAGCAGGGAGGTTTTGCCAGGTGGTGAGAGATTAGATCACGTACAGAAGTACTTGTGTCATATTCCAGGGGAGGCTGCAAGGCCGGTTGCTGAACAACACACAGATGTGTCTTAAAAAGGAAAAGTAAGAGATCCCAGATCTAATGAACCATTTACTGGAGCTTGGTTCTTGGTAATCCACAATAAGACGGGCTTTGTAATAGGAATCCTGGGGGAGTTTATGGAGCAAATAAAAGGAGGGGTGTTCCCCAGCATTCCTGAGCTGCAGACCTCTTCCACGTATATCTGCACCCCCTACGTTTCTTGCCCTTTTATCAAATATTTATAAAAACCCCTACTGATCAAATATTTATAAAATCCCCTACTGATAATTAATATGGCTTTGTAGAAGAATGCATGAAATAATTATAAATGCCTTGTTTAACATACCAAGTTTTAGCTGAATTGTTAAGAGAGTTTGAAGGGCTCTAAAATCATCAGCAGATTCAGTGAAGTGGTACATTAATACCAAAATTATAAAGTAAGTCAGGAATTGGCTACAAGACAGCTAGAAATTGAATTTATTAATATGTATTTTTTTAATAGAGAGAAGGGTAAATTAGGCTAAGTCATCGCACAGTGTTCATTACTACATTCCTTAATTGTGGACAAAAACATTAAAGATACACTGCTGAATTTTGCTTTTAAGAATGAGATACTGCTATTGGAGATTAGGATTAGGATGCACTAGATGACTTGGAAATTGGTCTAGTGAGACAGTGATGAGGTCTGAACCATAATGTTGTACGACAAATCTTGTATCAGTGAAAGAAATTTAGGATCAAACCAGAGTATAGAGAAAACTGCAAGCAATAATAAGGAAAACCAGAAACTCGGCCTTATAAGTGGACCTTGGAAAGTTTGACAATTATTCATTCTAATGAAAGTTGAGAGAGGATATCAACACTCTTGATAATTGTAAGAATGAATAAATATACAAAAGAAAATGATGTCAAATAACAATTTTAACAGAAGAACAAATATATGTAAGCATTAATAAATTGATGTGTAATTAAGAGGTTTACAGTCTCTACACCAATGTACTGGAATAGAGTCTTTGTGGTAATAGTGTGGTAAAAGAAAACTTTCTGAAACATTGATTGCTTGTATGAAAGTGATCATATGATGTCTTGTCTAAAATAGCATAGTTCAACTTGATTACAGTAGATATTTCCATCTTCATAATACAAATAGAAATATTACTGAAATTGGTAATTTTATCATCAGAAAGCATATTGTAGGTTGGAGCTTGCTATAGAAATGACATGTAAGTGGAGAAAGATGTCTAGTATCAATTGTCAGTTCCAGAATTTTGCAGAAAGGTTTATGTTTCTTTTAGAAGAAGTGTTATTTGATGTGATGCCAAATAAACTTTGAAATTCACTTTCTTTTATAAAAAAGTTTCATTCAAATGTGGGAAACTAATGTTATTGAAGCAACTCTGCTTTTGAAGATTCAGCCTTTTGAGGAGCAGGCTTTTAAATTCATAAGAAAAGGGTATTCTAGAGAATTCTGACATAGGAAAAAGTTTCATGATTTATGGAAGTTGGGGTTTATGAGGCCATACATTATCAGAATAAATGGTGGTCTTGTTCTTCTGTATTTTCCTAGTTCCTCAGGCTTAGAATGGAAAGAGTGAATACGTTGAGATTGTCTGGCCATGGGAAGGAGAAGATGCCTGCTCCAAGGGTGCCAGTGCTGGCAGCAAGATCACTGGATCTCTTCTCTTCCAGGAGACATGGAGGTCTATTTGTGGTTGGAGCCACCTGACTAGATAAAGTATAGATCAGTCTGCTGTGAAAGTACCTCACATGAAGAAGACTGCCTGATGGTTTAGTTTCCGCTGAATATATCTTGTTATCAGATGAGCCTTTTCAGAAAATTAAAAACCAAAACCAGTATTTTCTTGTTTCTGGGTTTTGTTTGGAATGTTTTGTCCCCTGTCAATTCAGGTGGGCCATTATCTGTTACTGATTTTAACTGGAATTGTGGAAGCAAAATCCTGGAATAAAAAAAAAATAGAATGTTTCTTTAAGCTTTAAAATAGGCAGTCTTGACTCAGATTTTCAGTAAGGGCAATTTATGCATCTGCAATAAATAAATAGCTCTTTAAATATGTGTGAATAAAATATAATCATGTTTGAAGTTTCTTTATATTGACAAAGTGGTATAAAATATTTTCATTGTAAAAAACAGTTCAAACCAATTTACCATAGAAAAAAACACACTTCAGTGTAGGGATTTTCCCCAGAGAAAAACTTGGCTGCTGAAAGGGAGATGGTCTGAAATTTAAATGTGTTCTAAAGCCAGTTAATTCGTGCCACTGTAAATGAAACTTAGAGTGGGCAAACACAAAGCTTCCTAACACGACTAGAGGTACATGACAAAATCCGTTTCAATTGACTAAGCACTCAAAGGTGTACTGTCAAAAAACTGTCTCTAAATGACCCTGTTTGGTAAATCCCAGCAATCCTGTTATTCAGTCAGGCTCTTGGTGTTGTTTGTATGCCATTATTGCAGTCCAGAGTGCCTCAGGGGAATCCACTTAGGATGCAGTCTAATAGCCTCTGTCTCCCTTCCACTACAAGATGTAGAGTGATCAGCCTTTTGGAATGTAAAATATGTAACTAAGTTTTCTTTTTCCATCTTAATTTTACATAAAATTGTAAAAATGTGGGGTTTTTTGAGGGTAAGCCTAGGACTAGTCTTTCTCTTAACTGACAATTAAACACACTCCTTGATGTGCTTCCTGTGGACTTTTATTAAAAAAATTCTTACAGGTGGGTATTATCTGTAGAATTGTTCTTTGATATATGGCAGATAATCTACTTTACAAAATTTGCCATATGAATATATTTTACAAAGTAGTAGTATTATCAAAGTCACTTGTAACACAAATTTCTAACTGTGCATATGATACACAAACTAAATTCAATGCTGGGAACTTCTTTGTTTGTTTTATGGTGTATTGATTTCGTTTGTTTTTTTTAATAATAAGACTGTAGAATCAATTACTTATTTTTCCATTTCAGGAATAGATTGAAGAAAACATGGCCAATCAACGGGATTACATTAGCAGACCTATTTGCAATGGAATTTCTGTTCCTGAAAATAAAATCAATTCCTTAGTGGCTGAAGGTCATGGACAACAAATTCTGAAAGTACTACAAAAGTTCAGAGAACAAAATATATTTTTTGATTTTAAAATTCGTGTGAAAGATGAAATAATTCCCTGTCATCGTTGCGTACTGGCAGCATGCAGTGATTTTTTCAGGTAAACCTAATTTTGGTGTGAGTTTGCAGGAAATAGATTGTAAGTTCTCTGGGAGGGAAGGAGGGAGGGAATAGAATTTAAAAACAAAACAAAACAAAACCAAAAGTTAAAAAAATTATCACAATTCACATATATCTGCAGAGTTTTGAGCACAGCATTCAAACATCCTTTTAGGGGTATGCGAGATACAGCTCTTTGTATTTACAGAAAGCCATGAGGACTTTATGAATCAGATTCCAACAGCAGTTGAAACTCTGTAATACAAGTTTCAAATCATAAATATATAGTTCTGCTGTTAGGTTGAACTGACACAGGTTATGTATGTTTAAGAGTTACCTGTTGCCTGTATCAGTACTTGAAGGTCTGCAAGGATATTGTTTCAGTTTTTATATCAATTTTTATATGATAGTCTATGTACTTTGACACATTCATGTTGTGAAACGATTGATTACAAATACATCTTGTAATCTTGTACTGAGCAATTGTGGATAAATTGTACATAACTTTGGAATGGAACTGGTTTTTGTTTGTCCAAGAAGAGTGGTCGGTATTGTAGAAATTGTCTTCAGAGGTATTTAAATAGATATGCATACTTTTCCTAAACTACAGATTTCATCTTTTCAGCATGAAATGGATCTTCCTTCTTGTGCTTAAAGCTGTGTATTCTTAAGGGACAGTCTTCATTCACATACAGAATATTAATTTATAAATAAGCCTTGCTAACCTTTTTATTAGAAAGGTTCAAACTTGCAGTTCCACACTGAAAGTGTTTCTGAATAGAATTTACTAAAAACAAAGCTCAGACTCTAACAATGAAAAAATGGACTCTTGGGAATGAGTTAATAGCCTCAATTCGGTTGCCCATTCATAGGTGAGTGTTATTTTCAAATGTCCTGGAACATCCCATGGTCTAAGTGAGTTTGCCATGTATGACAGAAGATAGCTAGATGTGTTCTAAGAATTACTGAAAAAAAGAAGAAATGCGGATGAAATGAGCACTTTCTCCACTGTAGGAGCAGATTTGTTTTTTTCTCTGACGCACAAGACTACTTTCATTTGTCTTTAACTGCTTGACAGCACCAAGATGATCTGGTAGAAAGAAATACTAGGATGAAATAACTTCCAGTGGTAATTTTTAGAACTGAAGTTAAGCACATGGAAACGCGTGTGTCATTTTCATTACCTACAGACTTTCAGATTAAAAACTGCCAGGAGAGATCTCTCCCTGCTCCTAATGGTTGATATGGTAGATAATAGCAGCCATCAGATTCATAAGTCGTCCTGCAATGCAAGGTCCATTTTTTACCTTCAAAGAATAAAAAGTACCTAGGTCCCTACAAACATTTTGAAACGGAACACCTTTTGTCTTCCTTGGCCTTTGGACTTCTCTTAGTTTTGGCTTCATTGTGTAAACCGAATCATCAGCAACATTTTTATCCTCACTTGTTAGCTTTAAGAGTCAAAGCCTTTGCCTACATTGCTCTTCTTCTATTAGTATTGTTCAGTTGCTGTTTTACTGCCAAATTAGAGCTTTCATAGCTCGTGGGTTAATGAGCAAAGGATTATAAGGGTCATCACTTAGTATGCAAAGAGGTCTTTGGGACACAGTTGTCTTACTGTAATTTTGTGTTCTTGTTCAGGAAGTCAGACAAGTTCCTCCTTTACCAGGTGTTCACATCCCAAAGAGTATGTGCTATACACAGGGATGGTTTTTTTTTCCTCTTTGGCTTCAGAAAAAAATGAGATTTCAAAAATCCCATACAACAGAGATACTAAGTGTATAACTGAACTATGATATTACAATTTTTTTAGTATGAATTAACTATGATATATTAATATCCAGATTCTCTGCTTTGCATTTGATGATTTATCAAACTCTTCCTCCCTTATTATCTTGTGTCATATTCAGAAGCCACTGCTATCCTAGCTTGAGGCTTAGTCTCTGGGAGGGTAGGGCAAGGGATATTGCAGCACTGTTCTGTTGCTAGCACTTACTTGCTTGTAAAAATTTAATTATTTTATCTTGCCATGTTAGATTATGTGAAAGAGTTAAATGTTATTACATAGTTAGAATAAAGCAGTTAAAGTTGTAATAAAATTTCCACAAATCTCCTGGTCAACAGTTCATTCCACAATTTCAACCATCATCTTTGTATTCAGTCACAATCTACTTTGTGCACAGTTTCTTTATGTCATGCAATCATATCAAAATCTCATTTTCTCTCTGACATTGGCCTGTACTCATACATCTCTCTGTCAACTCTAAAGCAAGAATTAAGTTTCCTTGTGTTTTTTCTCCTCATTTACCCCTTACCTACTTTTATTTCTGAGGACTACACCCATCATCTGTCTGGCCATTTGCTCAGCCTGCAATTTGGAAGGGGTTTTTTTTCCACATAATTTTATGTACTCATCCACATTGCATGACCTAACTCATAGGGCTTTTTTACTATGTATTTTTTTAAATCAGGCTTTCTTTCCCAAAGTTGAAACTGATGCTGTCCTGAAATATTTCACATATTCTCTCATGCTGAGAGCTACAGACTTCATCACCATTTGTGAAAATGCATACAAAACACAGGTGCTGCAATGATTTTGTTAAGCCATCACACTGAATATGTTCTTATCACCAATATTTTTTTTTCAAACACACCAAGTAATTTCATTGTTCATATAAGAACTTCCACAATTTAGACCAATTTTAGGCCAGCCCACATTATTAAGTGCCCCTAATTGTCTCCTTCCACATCAGTGTTCTCATCTGTTTGCTGAATCTTTAATTTGTGTGTATATCTTCTGTATTCTATTCACAGAGCCATGTTTGAAGTTAATATGAAAGAACGGGATGATGGCAATGTTACTATTAGTAACCTATCACCTAAGGCAGTGAAAGCTTTTCTTGATTATGCTTACACGGGAAAAACAGAGATAACCAATGATAATGTGGAAATGCTGTTCCAACTGTCATCATTTCTTCAAGTTTCACTCCTTTCCAAAGCTTGCAGTGACTTCCTAATAAAAAGTATTGATCTTGTGAATTGCTTACAGTTGCTTTCTCTATCAGAAAGTTATGGGTCTGTCCGCTTGTTTGATCATGCGCTAGATTTTGTACAACACCACTTTTCATTGCTGCTCAGATCGAGTGACTTCTTGGAGATGAATTTTGAGATATTACAAAAATGCCTCGAGGCTGATGAACTAGATGTCCCTGAGGAAGAATCAGTGTTGAAAGCTGTCCTCCAATGGACCAAACACAACTTAGAAACACGGCAGAAATACCTGCCTAATTTGATTAAAAAAGTGAGATTACACCAGTTACCTGAAAAGACTTTGCAGGACTTTCTGCATTCTGAAGAGCACTTACTTAAGAGTGCTAATTGCTCAGTAATAATCAATGATGCAGTTAAAAGTGTGCAGAACTTCAGTGGATTGTTTCCAGATGCACGTCCTTCAACAACAGAAAAATACATATTTGTTCATAAAACTGATGAAGATGGAGAAAACAGACATACATTCTGCTACAACATCAAAACAGATAAATGGAAAGAACTACCACATACGCACATGATTGATCTGCCAGGGTCAAGTTTGTCTAGCTATGGAGAAAAAATATTTATAACTGGAGGATGCAAGGGTAATTGTTATAGGACTGTCAGGCTTCATATTGCTGAACCATTTCATGATGCCACTGACCAAACCTGGTGCTACTGCCCAGTCAGCAATGAATTCTCCATAGTGTCAGCTATGAAAAAACCAAGGACAATGCACACATCTGTTGTAACCTTAAATCAGCTCTTTGTGATAGGTGGAAAGACCAGAGGAGCTCAAGAAACTCGGAGTCTTTTGGATGTAGAATCCTATAACCCTCTTTCCAAAGACTGGAAATCTGTAAGCCAGTTACCAAGAGGTATCTACTATCCAGAAGCAAGTGCATGCCAGAATATAATTTATGTCCTTGGCTCAGAAGTAGAGATTACTGATGCCTTTAATCCGTCCCTTGACTGTTTCTTTAAGTATAACGCTATGACTGATCAGTGGTCTGAGCTTGTAGCAGAATTTGGGCAGTTTTTCCATGCAACTCTGATCAAAGCTGTTCCAGTGAACTGCACATTGTACATATGTGATCTCTCCACCTACAAGGTTTACAGTTTTTGCCCAGAAACCTGTGTTTGGAAAGGGGAAGGATCTTTTGAATGCGCTGGCTTTAATGCAGGGGCAGTTGGGACAGAAGACAAAATTTATATACTAGGTGGTGATTATGCTCCAGAAGAAATCACAGATGAAGTTCAAGTCTACCACAGTAGTAGGTCTGAGTGGGAAGAAGTTTCACCAATGCCAAGAGCCTTAACTGAGTTTTACTGTCAGGTCATTCAGTTTAATAAATATAGGGACCCCTGGTCACCTGTACTGACAATTTGCTCTGGAGAATTTTGAAACTCCCAAATTAAAAGAGTCTATTTAAATGCACAAGTTGTAGAATAGTTTTTAAGTATTAGTTTAGAGATGGAGAAATATGTACTTATTTGTTTAAATTTTCAGTTTCGATTAAATGCTGTAGGATTGCTTTTGGAAGACTCCGTTAAAATGTCATTCATGCTAGTCATTATACAGACAGTATTATATACTTAATTTTATATACAACTCTTCTCTGTAATTATTAGAATAATTTTAAAAATTATATTAATTTTCCAAAAAGAATATTCATGAGGAATTAGTTGTGTAATATGTGTCATTATTTCTGTAATATTCACTGTTGTCCCAATAGACAAATTGCTAAATGAGAAAACTGACTGTGATACTGTTTTCCCTATGTAACTGAAGTTTAAAAGACATTTTCATTAGTGCGATTCAGATTTTCTATGTTCATAAACCTGTAAGAGGAATACATTGTCAGCTTTATCTTATCACAATAACCTTAGCAAGGACAAGAGCCAAAGTGACCTTCACAGTATTAAAACCAGGTATTTAACTTGAAGAGACTGATAATTCCTGGCATCTTACTTCAGCTCTTCAGTTTTGCCAGTTTTTCTCCATCCTTGTGCCTTAGTAGTAGCTTTATTTTCTGTTTCCATGCCATTAACTGTGGCAAAGTAAACTTCAATAACATACTGCAGGGTAGGTAAGATTTCTACAGGACAGATGATTCATGTGAATACCTTTGCTTCAGTCATGTTGCTAACTAAAGAAAGAAGACTTCAGGATGTTTTCTGTCAGAAGTCTTCATCTCTGAAGTCTTCAGTGCTACCTACTAAGCAGTCACTAGGCTGCTTATAGCAGCAAGCTGTAAACTGAACCGTAGCTGTTGCTTCCGTTAACTATGGGAAAAGGTTGTATCTTGTCATACATCAAATATAAAGTTACAAACTACACCCCCATATTAAAAGGCAATAGTAAATAGTATTTCTGAGGTGAGAAATCATCTCTTGTGGTTTAAATTAATTAAAACACTTTATCTTGAACTTCATTGTATTTTTTAGATGAAAAAATATTACACAGTTAACACTTCACAATATATTGCTTGATAAACTTTAGGTAGTCAGCTATGATAATGTTAAAATTGTAATGGACTTTTAGTGCTACTATTAGTCTAGCTATATATTCTGAAGTAAATTTGATCTCATGCTTGCAAAGTCAGTCTTCTTTCTGACAGGAGGACACTGAAATTAGCTAGGTTTCATAAATTAATTTGGATTCTTCCACAGCCTGAGAATTTCCTTTCTTACCAGGTATCCAGATAAGACACTGAGAGCCCTTATGTTCCCTATAAGTGTTGTGAAAGCAGTAAGGTTGTCTTCTGCCAGACAGAAATCATGATTCTAAACATTTAATCACATCTTTTCAAGAAGTTTAAATAATGAATAAAATTTAGTGAGGCATCAGAGACATCTTTTATATGTCTTGAGACAATTGTGGTAAGTTCATTATCACATCACTACTGCATGTACTTTTTGTAAAATCCAAGCTGAATATTAATGCTTAAAGCTTAATATTGCCTAGAACAGGCTTCTGTTTTAAACAGTAAACAATGGAAGGTTCTGATTCTGTGACTGACTCTGTAATTTGTTATGAGATACCCTTACAAATTTAGATAACATTCATCATAGCAATTTTTATAAGCATGTAAAATAAAATTATGTATATTTGGAATAGAGCAGGACCCTTCCACTCAGTAATTTCTGTATATTAATATGTGTGTCAGTTCTGTAGAAGTAAGTAGCTTGCTACAGTATTTCAGGCAACTTCCCCATTTATTTTGGTTTTTTTTTTCATAATAAGTCTCCATATTTTAACTAAACGTAGCTAGGTAACCTCTACAATCACCTTGCAGAAATGCAAGTATTTTTATATTGGGACACAACTACTTTTTGTTAGTGCAAAGCAAATGTATTGAGTAGAGAGAGGAAGAATACTATTCCTACTTACTGAAACAATAGGAAAAAACCAAACACATAGGAAAATGGTAGTTTTAGTTTTAATGAAGCTACTCAGGGTAGCATAGTGACTTCATTAACCATTAATTATTGCAACTTGTCACATCATTGGAATAAAACACCCAATTCACCTTCGCTTATGTATTTGTGTTGTGTTTATTCCTGAGTAATATGAGTAGACAATTTATGCATTGAGAAAAGTGACATAATATGCCCGTAGTACATGGGTATAAATAGCTATGCAAATTGAAAGAGACTAGAGAATTGCAAGGGTGTTTTAATTGCCACTGTCATGACCAGATTGCTGGGTCACATAAACAGCAAGTGAGTGAGTCATTCAGGTGGTGCTCTTTCCTCTAAGTTTTTGCCTACAGCAGATCTTTTTGGCAGTCTTCCACCCAGCTACTTGCTGTAAGACTCTGGCATCTGACATCGGATAGAGCAATGACGTATGTGAGAAATTCCTCAGTACAGAGGAATTATAGACAGTGAAAACTGACTGTAGCTGAATTGGGAAAATAGACATGCTTCTTTAATATTCTACACTATACTTGTGCAGGAACTAATGTCAGTTCCCAGTCTGAAAAATCATTCATGGATTTCACAGGGAGGTGAGCTCTTACTCAGTGATCAGGAAATAATGTAGTAATGTCAGTTACTTTCTAGTATTGCTTACAGAAAAGTTACTGTGAAATGGTACTGATTTTCTGCAGTTAGGCACGTCAACCTGTACTACACTCTCACAGAAGGAAAAAGGATCATTTGCCACATTTTCACATACAAAGTATTAAATCTGGTAGCAGAATAGAATGCAGAAGAAGCAGAAGTGTTAGGAAGTCATGTTTAAAAACAAGGCTTTATCATAGAAGAAAGGACCTATGATCCAAACCCTGTGATTAATTGCTAAAGATGTAAGAAATCTCAGTGAACTACACACACACACACAAAAAATTTCCTTGAGTAACTGTTGTAGTCTGGATCAAACTGATTTTTCAGTCTACAGAGCATTTATGCATATAAAAACAAAAGTCACAAAATTAATGCAAAGTGAGTTTTTAAAAATCTTTTATGACTTTTCAAAGCTCTTTGAATCAAAGCTTTATGAAAAAGTACCTTCCTCTAAAAATAGTAACTAGATTAACGACTATGTATGTTCTCACTGAAATAGAGTGATATTTAAACATACAAAATGCATGTAAAATTATAATCCACTATTTGCACTTAAATGATGTAACCAAAACATTTCTAATAGTATTCTATTTTATGTCACAGAATACATTATAAGCATGACCAGTATAATATACACGAAGATAATATATATTGTATGTGGGATTTTAATATCCAATGATGATTATATTGGATGATCTTAATTTTTAAAGAATGCTATCAAAACGTTATGGCACTTTGATAATGTTATCATACTGGTTTAGTTGTTATAATAGATATCAATTATTCAGGTGTTTTATTGATTATGTTTGCACAGACCTGATGATTATTATTTAAGGACTAATGACTCTTTTTTCTATATTCTAAATACATCTGTAGTAAGTCAGTTTACTGCTGTTAAAAATTCGTTATATTCACAAAATTGAGTAGATTTTCTGGGTCAGATTTATTTATTACTCTGTGAAGAAAACTGTTTACTTCCTCTGGTTAGTAAAGGGTAGTAGGTAAGGTATAGGCTACAGAATGTGCTGACTGCAGTTCCTAATGTGGAGATTAATTTTAGATGTTTCTGTTTGTACCTGACCAACAGGAGGCAGCATAAGATTTCTTTTAATTAAAACAGACTGAAAACAGGGATGTATTTGACAATATTTATAGTTGAGCATTATACTCAATTTACTTTTTTCCTTCTAACAGCCAGTAAAGCATAGAGAACAGTAACATTTCGCTGCTGCCTGGGTTCTGCTGATATGTGGAAAGTATGATACTACACATTTGCTGAGATGTTCATTCTTTTGTGAAATAAAGCACTGAGCAACTGAATCCTTCTTGGGTCTCTCTCTTTTTTTCTTTTTTTTTTTTTTTTCCCAGTGAGTTTCAAACTGCAGAGATTCTAGAGTGTTTCTAATGCAGGTAATCTCTTTTGGGATTTGTTGGTTTGTTTTTTTCCCTTCAGTTAGAGAACATTTTGAATGCCATAACCAAGAGTGCAGTTAGCATGGATGAAACTGCAGTGAGGGGGGTTTATAATTATCCTTAGACCTTGTATTTGTATTTCCTTTGCATACTGAATTACTGTTCCCATGCTAATTTTAACTGTCTGCTGAAAAGTTTTTAAGTTTACCATTGTAATGCACTCATTTAAATTGGTATAATTTTTTAAAATTAGATCAGATTGATATACAGGTTTTTTTTAACAGTTTAAGTATTGCAAATGATTGGGTGTTTATTGTTACTGAAATGGACCTTCTATACTTGTAGAAGGAGCTTTATATGGAAGGAGAAAAAAAGCTACAGAGTCCAAAATTTGCATGCCAAGATTTGCAGAAATGGCATTAATACAAAGGGATGGAGCCCAGTGTTGTCTTATATCCTTCCAAAACTGAAAATTCTGTAACCCCGAGACTCCTCTATAGATAGATTAGAGTTGCAGCAATACAAATTAACTTTCCAACACTCCAAGGCCTTTGCGCCAATAGCCTTTCAGCTAGCAAAAGCCTTTTGGAGACATGTGCAAAGCATTCCAGCAGCATTCACAATATTAAAAGCTTATATTGAACAATGAAGGGATTCACAGACCAAATCTGAGAGCTTAAGTTGCATAACCCTGTGCACAATCAAAAGGAAACTGTATTTGTATGTTCTACAGATCCAGGGAATTCACCATGGACTTAAACAGTTTGTGTCTGAAGAAGACCATATGGTAGGGATTTTCTTCCTGCCATCGAAAGCAAAGAAGAAAGAATCTGGATTTAATTATTAAAATACACATAAATTACGCAAAAAATCAAGTTGGTTCACATAAGCGAAGGAGGTCCAAGGATTTTTTTTGGAGGAATCTGTTATACACCAGGATTTTTCACCAGTGATTAGCAGCCTCCATAAAAGTAGAGTAACAATTCTGGGAGAAAGTAGAGCTATTTAGGTTTATGTGCGCAGCTACTCTAGGAAATAATATGATTCCTAGTTAAAATTATTCTAGGAATACTAATCATATTTAGTGGGTTTGTCTTTCACAATAAAAGAAGGATATTCAACAAGGTATAATTAGGACTAATTATTTTTGCAGACTAGCAGAGGATCAGACTGTTAATGACCTCCCCTTTCCATCATTTATCCACCTACTTGTCCTGAATCTACTTTGAACTACCTTGCAAGACCTTTACAGAGTGCTTGAATTTGATTTCTGAGCACCAGAAAATTACAAGTTAAAATACTGGTGTCACCGTTAGGTCAGACATGACATACACACACGTGATCAGGGTCCAAGAAAAAAAGTTTTTATTCTGCGTATTCTCCAGTTTATATACTCTTAACAAATCATGATCTTAAGTCATTAACTACATCACAATAACGTATTATATTAATTGGTGGAAAGCAATTAGCATCAATGTAATTGGCAAAAGTTTTACAGAAATTTAATGAGGCATGTATACACATTTACTAATGCACGTAGTCTAACTTACAAAAATGTTCATGTATCTTTTCTAATCTGTTCCCATGCTGATGGCCTTGTCTTCTTCCTTGCTATGGATACACTCGAAAATAATCAATTGTTATTTCTTCTAGTAACTCAGCTTTGTTTGCAGGCGAGCTGTCAAGCACCATATACTGGTAATAATGTAAAGGGAAGCCAAGTTCATGTATGGGTTTCAGTAAGAAATACCCCAGTGTTATATTTGTCAGTAATGTGGCATGGTCTTGCTCCACTACTCCTCACCATTTTCCTTTTTAACTGGATTTTCAGTACACAGTGGGCAAGTATGGCAGCAACACTATCACTACCTGTTAGCAAACTGGTAAATGAATAGTTGGCTGAAACTGGAAAATACCGTTTTAGGGAGATTTGCAATTTCATCACAGTTATGATCTTTTAAAGCCGTATTAGTCAAATAACTACCCATACAGTGAAAGAACTTGGAAAGACTGAGCAAGTAACTGTTAATCAATAAGTGAAGTACTAAATGCACACATCGGGGTCGGCAGACTAGAGGTACCAAACTTGGAAAAAGTAGAGTTACATCACTAAGGCGCCAGGACCTAACACAGAACACAAGGACCAGACACATCTTGTGTGGTGGAGGGGACGAGGAGCCCCGAGCCCGACAGCTCCAGGAAAGCGATTTATGTGTATATTCACCCACATCAATGGCGTGGTGCAGCGCTTCCCGAAAGATACTTTTATTTCTTTCATTACAGGATGTGATAATCGTCATTTCTCCATTTTAATCACAAACCGCGCAGTTCAGGACGAAAAGTCGGTTGCCGCGCGCTCGCTCTGGGCAGCAGCATCATAAACCGGGCGGCCACAACGGTGGCATACGCACGGCTAAGCCGCATGCTCGGGCCACCCCTGTTCCTACCGACCTCCCTCCCTCCTTTCCTCCTCCTTTCCACACAGGCCGCCGCCCAGAGGCACCGGGCTCCACCCCGGGCCGCGCCCTGCGGCGAAGCGGCAGCACCACACCCACCCCGCGGAGGGTCCCTGGCTGAGTGGGGGGCGGGCCGCCACAGGCCGCAGCCAATCATCGGCACGCCTGGGGAAGACAAGCGGCGGTTGCAGCCAATGGCTGCCCGGCGGCTGCGCGCGGCGCGGCCCCGCCGGCGGAGGCGCGTTGGGGATTCCGGCCCGCCTGGCGCGGCAGGGCGGGGCGGGGGAAGGGGCGGAAATGGAGCACCAATAGGCGTGCGGAGAAGAGTGACAGGCAGGCAGCTCGCCCAATGGGAGGGCGGTGGCCGTTAAAGGGCCGGCGGCCCGGAGGGGAGCGCCGGGCGCAGGTGAGTCGCGCGCGCGGCCCCCGGGGACCGGGCGGGGCGGGCGGCGGCACCGGCCCGGGGATGGGACGGCCGCTCCCCCCGCGGCGTGTGGGCAGCCCCCGCCGCCCTCGGGGGGTACAGCCGTGGGGCTCCGTCGCCCTCAGCCTCTGGGGGGGATGAGGCGATTGCCCGCCGTCTTATCTCCCCACGGGGAGGTCCCGTTCCTATTTCTCCTTCTCCCGGGAGAGTCGCAGGGCCCCGCCGGCCGGAGAGGCCCTGGTTTGCGACAGGGCCCAGGGGCCCATCTGCTCCCGGGGCCTCGGGCTGTGCTGGCCGGGCAGCCGGCCGTGCCCCCGCCTCCCTTTGTTGCCGCCCTGTTTTGCCTGCAGCGCGCCGGGTGGGAGCGCGCTGAGCCCGGGGTCGCGGCCGAGCCCGCCCTGAGCCTCCCGGGGCTCCTCCGCGCAGGGACCGGGCCTCCCGTTCCCCTGCAGGGCCGTGGCTCGTCCCGGGGAGCGCGAGCTGCGGCCTGATAAGTCTGTGCCTTCAATTGCCTCGATCCTCAGCTGCTTCCCATCTTCCGCGCGTTCTCCTTGCTTCGTTGAATTGTTCTTTTAGGTGCTGTTGGTTCCCTGCTGTGCCTGCTTTTTCGTTTGAGTAAACCGCAGGCTTCTTCCAGGGCTGTGTTGGGTGATGTGTTGTGCAGCGTCCAGATCCTCCTGTAGTAAAAACCTTTGTACAAAAGCATAAGTTGCTCCGAGCCAGTGTAGCCATCTCTTAGGAATCACAAAAAAGTTTTCTAGAAAGCCTTAGGCAGAAGATATTCAAGACCCTAATTTTGTTTAAGAAAACTTAGCGATACTAGGTCCTTGTAATTTGATTTTTTTTTTTTAATTCAAGCATAAGCCCTAAAAGTTTTTTTTTTTTTAGTCAAGACATCATCTGTTGTAAAAAGTAATGATTTTCATAAAATTCAAGTTTGATGCTAGCAACAGTCTTCCACTCCTGGTGAATGCAT